GGATAGATGGATGGATGGATGCCAGGCAGGCAATGAAAACTCACCGTCTTGAAAGGCTGGTACCGGCAGCTCTCTGGCATGGTGAGCACCTTCAGCTGGGCTGGCATCACCCGGGCCGGGTTGTCAAGGATCTGGAAAGAAGGTTCAGGCTCCTTCTTCTTCTCCTTCTCGTCCTTCTTCTCCGCTTCTTCCTGTTTGCGGAGGTGAGAAAAGCCTCAGCGGGGAATGTAGGAAACCGTAAACAAACCTGGGAGGGGCTTTCAACACTTTGAAAACAGGTGAATTCTAGCATTACAAAAAAAAAATAAAAAAATCTTACCAAACACGGGTTTACGTTTCTTCGTTGGGAAACTGACGTTTTGCAGGAAGAGCCCCGTTTACCGTCAAACATCGAATCCCGTAGCTTAATAATCAGCCATTCCTATGAGCCCTATTTCCCCAGCTGGTGTTCTCTGCCAGCTGTTCTAAGTGAACCCCCCAGGGATGCCTTGAAAAAGGCTGGAGCGCTTCTCGGCTGACAGGCGGGATGTAAGTACAAGAAGCTAGTCCACATCTGTCCTCCGAATCAAGATGAGACGGGACGACCGTGTCAGGGTTCCGGGGATCACCCTAATTAAATCATGAGCCTCGGACACAAGGCTTCCAAAGAATCCCAAAGGTTTATTAGGAGCAACGTGTCCGGCATTAACCTAAATGAAACCAACTCTGCCATACGCCATTCGCAGTCACCCGTGACGCTGTTTCCCTCCCTCTCCCCTGGGTGGGTTATAAATCACATTCTCCAATGAAGCCGGTGTCCACCGGGCTGGGTGTCATCCATCACGTTCTCCAATGAAGGATTTTCCCCCGGCAGAAGATCCGGTTGCCTAGCTACAATCTTTGTAAGATAAGGGTGGAATGTACTTTGTCAGGGCTCCAACAAATCCACCCCCATCTCTCAGAGTAAAAAAAAAAAAGGATTTATTAGGAGTGACCATGCCGGGCGTTAGCTGGGTGCAGCCGACATTAAAATACATCATTCATTTCCCCCTCGACCCTGGTCTTCCTTCTACCCCCTGGATGTATATTCTCCAATGGGACACATCCATAGCCAAGAGTCACCAATCAGGCTCTCCAGTAATAATCTTGCGCGCCAACAGCTTCGGCTGCCAAGGCAATTATCTGAGGCATGTAAGGAATGCACTGCTTTCCCCGCCTCCCTCCCGTTTCTGCTGGCAACTAAAAAGACCAAAGGAGTATTTTTTAGTTGACATACTTCTGGTTTTAAACTGCCATACTGGTCCTTCAGATCCCAAACCCCCCGTTTATGGCAACTCGAAAACAGATATAGGAATGCTTTACGAGTTAGCAGATTGCACCGCTTGGAGGTGGACACTGGACCCCTGCCAATGGGCTAAAGCAAGGGTGCCCAACATTTTTGGCACCACAGGCCAGAGGGAGGCGCAACTGAGATCCCTCGCATGCACAATTTGTGCGGGTAATCCTCGACTTACAATGGAGCCCGACACTTTTGTTGCTAAGCGAGACATTTGCCAAGTGAGTTTTGCCCCGTTCTACGCCCTTTCTTGCCACAGTTGTTAAGTGGACCGCTTGGAGCTGTTCAATGGTCGCTAAGTGGATCTGGCTCCCCCATTGACTAAGCTTGTCAGAAGGTCGTAAAAAGGGCATCGCATAACCCCAGGAACACTGCCACCGTCATAAAAGTAAGTCAGCTGCCAAACGTTCACATTTTGATCACATGATTTGTGGGGATGCTGCAAAGGTTGTGAGGAAAAACGGCCATAAGTCACTTTTTTTCAGGGCTGTTGTTAACTTTGGTGACTAAATGAACTGTTGTAAGTAGAGGGCTACCTGTATTTCAGGCTTTTCCCCGAGGTGTAAGCAAGAGGGATCGGGAAACACGAAGAGACCTGCAAAACACGAAGAGACCCGCAAGTGTGGGCCCAGCCTCCTGGTGAGGCCTGCTCTCAGATCTGGAGAGCCTCAAAAAGCTGACACAAAACTTGTGGCCATTTATGGCTTCGTCCTCTATGAAAATGTCCGATCCTAATTTAAGGCCTTCCCGGCTGTCTGTACTTTGCTACAACCGCTGGATAGGGTTGTACTATTTAGCATATATATATATTTTATATATATATATATATATATATATATATAAAACTAGTCTCTCTTTATACATATATATATATGTATATGTATATGTATATAACAGATAATCAAAGTTGGAAGGGACCTTGTAGGTCATCTAGTCCAACCCCCTGCCCAAGTGGGAGACCCTACACAATTCTGACAGATGGGCAATCCAGTCTCTTCTGGAAAATCTCAAGTGATGGCGCTCCCACAACTTCTGAGGGCAAGCTGTTACATACATACACACACACACACATATATATATACATTCATACACACACACAAAATGTACAATGTACAATATATGCAGGGATGGGTGTATATATTTATACATATACATACATACATGTATGTATGTATGTATGTATGTCTAGGTGTGTTCGGGTCTTTTCCTGTGTAAGACCTGAACACACCTAGACCTACATACCTGTACCCGTGAAAATCTACGAATACACACACACACACACACACACACACACACACACACACACA